CTGGAGAAGGAGGATCCCTTGAGCCCAGGAGTTCAAGGCTGGAGTGAGTTGTGATTGTGCCACTGCACTCTAGCCTGGATGACAGTGAGACTCTGTCTCTTAAAAAAAAAACAAAACAAACAAAAAAAAAACCCTGAAATCTGTGGACTCCTGGTGATTATGACATGTCCATATGGGTGCATCAGGTGTAACAGATGTATCCCCTGATGGGGGATGTTGATAATGGGGAAACTGGGATGGGGCGAGGACATATGGGAAGTCTCTGCAACCTTCCTCTAATTTTGCTGTGAGCCTAAAGCTGCTCTAAAAATGTATCTATGTTGACCCAGCAATCCCATTACTGGGTATATACCCAAAGGATTATAAATCGTTCTGTTATAAAGACAGATGCACATGTATGTTCATTGTGGCACTGTTTACAAATAGCAAAGACCTGGACCCAACCCAAATGCTCATCAGTGATAGACTGGACAAGGAAAATATGGCACACATACACCATGGAATACTATGCAGCCATAAAAAACAATGCGTTCTTGTCCTTTGTAGGGACATGGAGGAACCTGGAAACCATCATTCTCAGCAAACTGACACAAGAAGAGAAAATCAACCACCACATGTTCTCACTCAAAGGCAGGTGTTGGAACAATGAGAACACATGGACGCAGGGAGGGGAGCATCACACACTGGGATCTGTTGGTGGGGCTAGGGGAGGGACAGCGGGGAGTGGGGAGGTTGGGGAGGGATAATATGGGGAGAAATGCCAGCTATAGGTGACGGAGGGATGGAGGCAGCAAACCACCTTGCCATGTAAGTACCTATGCAAACCCTGCATGATCTGCACATGTACCCCAGAACCTAAAGTTCAATTTAAAAAGAGTGGGGCCTTCCTTTCCCTCTCTCTTGCCCCCAGCTCTCTCCCCCACCCACTTCCTCTCCCTGCTGCCCCCCCCCCCGCCCTCCCCTTTCCTTCCCATTGTAAATAACACTGCAGTGAATATCCTCAAGCACAAACGGTCTGTCTCCCAGTTCAGAATTACCTCCTTTATTTACAGCAGGTTCTCAGAACTAGAGTAGCAGGGCAAAGGCCTGAGGCAAAGGCATTTGCTCTGGGGCACCCCAGCCGCCTGCAGTCCCCTTCTTCCCTGTGGCTGAGTTCCTCCTCCCGCCCTCCGGCCTTTCCCCAGCCTCCTTTCGCCGCTAGGCCTCCTGAATTGCTGGGCACCGCCTATGGTCGACAGAGGGACAGATATGGCTCTGGAGGTCCACCGGATCCCCGGCTGCAGCCACAGGGGTGGCAGAGCAGGGATGTGGTCGGTGTGGGAAGCACAGGCTCCAAGTCTCCCAGGGGCTGGGAGGGCTCTGGCTGCTCCCACCTGTCCCCACCGCTGGAGAGGGCTGTGCGGTGGCTGGAGCTGCCACTGTGTGTCTCGGTGGGAGTGATTTCAGACCGGCTGAGCTTCTTAAAGGCCCCATATGAAAACATTGTTCATGGTGGTGTTTCACCACTCATAGCCTTTCCTGGCTCCAGGAGTAACACACGGTCACAGAAAATACAAGTGGCCTCCTCCTCCTCCACAACCTCACATCTCGTGCTTACTCCTCCCACCACCTCTTCTCCCTTCCCTTCTGCCATCTTCTTTCCCTCCCCTTCTGTCTCTCTGGTTGAGCCCCAGGGCCTTGGCTGGGCCCTTTCTTTCCTCAGGGAAGCCCTCAAGGCTGGGCTAGACACCCCCACCCCCAGCCCCACCAAGTCCCCCTGAGCCTCTCATCTTTCCACCCAGGACACATCAGGCTGCATGCTGACCCCTCCCCACTTGAGCGAGGCTGCCTTGTCCTGCTCTGGGATCTGCCCCCAGCTGGGACTGCCCGATCTGTGGGCCTCAGGAGCATCCCATACAGATAAGGTCAGCCACATGGGAGGGATGCCTGGCAACATGTGGCCCTCTCTGTCCCAGAAGTCATGTACTCAGTCCCCTGCGAAGCCCATTTGGGGACCTAGGGGCAGGGCATGGAGACAAAGTATGCCATTTTCTCTGATGGTGACGCCAAGCCATGTGAACTAACCAGAAGGCAGGGTACTGTGCACCCTGCCCAGCGCTGACACCCTCTTCCCGCCCGCCACCGTGCCACCTGCCTCCGCTCCCAGGTAAGCGGTAACCGGCACAGGTGCACCATGGGTATTGGAGAAACTGTATCGTCCCTGCACCAGAAAGAGTGGTGGGGAGGGGTTGTTGGAGAGCACATGACCCAGCATGTGACCTTGGCCCCAGCTCAATAAATACCCGAGGCCCAGAGGGAGGGCCACCCAGAGGCTGACGCACACCATGGGGCGCCTGCAGCTGGTTGTCTTGGGCCTCACCTGCTGCTGGGCAGTGGCCAGTGCCGCGAAGGTAAGAGCCCAGCAGAGGGCAGGTCCTGTCTCCTCCCAGCTCAATCCTATCTGGAAACTTGGGGCCAGGCTGAGGAAGAGAGCCCAGCACAGCCCCGCAGCAGTTCCCGGGTGCTCACCCTCATTTCTAGGGGGACAGGTGCCAGGTAAAACACAGGATGCCCAGTTCCATTTGAGTTTCAGATAAACCGCCAAGAACTGCTGTGTAAGAATCTCCCATGCAATATTTGAAACATATGGGTCGGGCGTCGGGGCTCATGCCTGTAATCCCAGCACTTTGGGAGGCCGAAAAGGGTGGGTCACTTGGGTCAGGAGTTGGAGACCAGCCTGGCCAACTGTGAAACTCCGTCTCTACTAAAAATACAAAAATTAGTCAGGTGTGATGGTGTGTGCCTGTAATCCCATCTTCTCGGGAGGCCGAGGCAGGAGAATCGCTTGAAGCTGGGAGCAGGAGGTGGCGGTGAGCCGAGATCACACCATTGCAGTCCACCCTGGGTGACAGAGCGAAATGCTTTCTTAAAAGATAAAAAAGAAAAAGAAAATAATGAAACATACTTATACAAAAAAAAAAAATTCACTGTTTACTTGAAATTCCAATGTAACTGGGCCTCTTGAAATTGCATTTGCTAAGCCTGGTGATCCCACCTACAAACCTCTCTGAGATCGAGGTTGTTCCCATTTTATAGAAGGGGAAACGGGCCCAGGGGCAGGGAGTGTGGAAAGCCAGCAGAGGGGGTAGAGAGGCAGGCAGAGGGGTAGAGAGAGGCAGGCAGAGGGGGTAGAGAGGCAGGCAGAGGGTGTAGAGAGAGGCTGGCAGAGGGGTAGAGAGAGGCAGGCAGAGGGGGTAGAGAGGCAGGCAGAGGGTGTAGAGAGGCTGGCAGAGGGGTAGAGAGAGGCAGGCAGAGGGGGTAGAGAGGCAGGCAGAGGGTGTAGAGAGAGGCAGGCAGAGGGGTAGAGAGAGGCAGGCAGAGGGGGTAGAGAGGCAGGCAGAGGGTGTAGAGAGAGGCTGGCAGAGGGGTAGAGAGAGGCAGGCAGAGGGGGTAGAGAGGCAGGCAGAGGGTGTAGAGAGAGGCTGGCAGAGGGGTAGAGAGAGGCAGGCAGAGGGGTAGAGAGGCCGGTAGAGGGGTAGAGGCTGGCAGAGGGGTAGAGAGAGGCTGGCAGAGAGGTAGAGAGAGGCTGGCAGAGGGGTAGAGAGGCCGGTAGAGGGGTAGAGAGAGGCTGGCAGAGGGGTAGAGAGAGGCTGACAGAGGGGTAGAGAGGCCGGCAGAGGGGTAGAGAGAGGCTGGCAGAGGGGTAGAGAGAGGCTGGCAGAGGGGTAGAGAGAGGCTGGCAGAGGGGTAGAGAGAGTCAGGCAGAGGGGTAGAGAGGCCGGCAGAGGAGTAGAGAGGCAGGCAGAGGGGTAGAGAGAGGCAGGCAGAGGGGTAGAGAGGCCGGCAGAGGGGTAGAGAGGCCGGCAGAGGGGTAGAGAGGCAGGCAGAGGGGTAGAGAGAGGCTGGCAGAGGGGTAGAGAGAGGCTGGCAGAGGGGTAGAGAGAGTCAGGCAGAGGGGTAGAGAGGCTGGCAGAGGAGTAGAGAGGCCGGCAGAGGGGTAGAGAGAGGCAGGCAGAGGGGTAGAGAGAGGCAGGCAGAGGGGTAGAGAGGCAGGCAGAGGGGTAGAGAGAGGCTGGCAGAGGGGTAGAGAGGCAGGCAGAGGGGTAGAGAGGCTGGCAGAGGGGTAGAAAGAGGCAGGCAGGCTGTTTGCCCAGGACTGCACAGCTGCTACCTCTTGTTCCTGAGCAGGAACCCAAAACCTGGGGTACTCCACATGGGAATCCTGGTCCCTCCAGAGGGAGAGCTGGCAGCCAAGAGCTCCCTCCAGGCATCTCAACAGGGTAACTTCAAGCCCAAGAGCTGCTCAGTTCAGTTCCCCCAGGGACAGCGGTTGGATGAGCGCCAACCTCCAGGCTTCTTGTGGGTTGGACAGATTGGTGCACAGAGGCAGTTCTCATGGCACAGGGAAGGGTGGAGGGTCCCTAGGGGGATCTTTACCAGCAGGGGTCCCAGGAGCTGTGGAGACTTGGGCATGGGACCATCGACTCTGTGCCCAGCCAGCTAGGCCCTGTGCTGGGAGATGAGAGGAGGAAAAAGCTGGCCCCGCCCCTCAGGAAGGAGGAAGTTTGGTGTGAAACATTTCAGGGACACCGAGCATTGGGTACGCTCCTGCCGGGAGCCGGACAGGCCTCCCATCTGATGGCAAACAGGCCGACAGGAGACACGGCTGTGGCTTGTCTTCCACGTGGGGAAACTGCGGATCATAGTCAAGGCTGCGCAGCCATGGCCAGAACCCACAGCCTCCACCCCACCTCCTGGAGGGCGGCCTAGTGGGAACACTGGTTGAACCAGTTTCCTGTAAGATTCTGGGATCAGGACAGCCCCAGGGATAAGGAGGGGAGCAGGAATCCTCAAGCCCTGAGCAGTGCGGGGCAGGGGGTGCTCCTGGGTCTCCTGTGCAGAGCTGCCCCACTTTGTAGCTGTCTTTGCCTCTGGACACCGGGAGTCGGCTTCCCTTGCTCCCTCCGGATTGAGGCCCACGGGGCCTGAGCCCGCCTGACCCTGCCTGTGTCTCCCTCCTAGCTGGGCGCTGTGTACACAGAAGGCGGGTTCGTGGAAGGTGTCAACAAGAAGCTTGGCCTCCTGGGCGACTCAGTGGATGTCTTCAAGGGCATCCCCTTCGCAGCTCCCACCAAGACTCTGGAGAACCCCCAGCCACACCCCGGCTGGCAAGGTGGGAATGGGTGGTACCGGGCTGGCCCTGCGGTGGGGCTGGCGAGGGTGGCTGCCTTCCTCATGTCAACTCCTCCTGCCACCACAGGGACCCTGAAGGCCAAGGATTTCAAGAAGAGATGCCTGCAGGCCACCATTACCCAGGATGACTCCTACGGGGATGAAGACTGCCTGTACCTCAACATCTGGGTGCCCCAGGGCAGGAAGCAAGGTCTGCCTCCCCCTACTCCCCAAGGGAACCTCCCAAGCTGCCAGAGCCCTGGCCCTGCTCCTGACTTGGGTCTGCAGGCTGCAAAGCTGAGCTGCCCTGAAATCCTGCAGAGGCGGGGAGGGGAGCGCCCCGTGGTGGTCCCCCAGCCTGGGGCAGGGCAGCTCCTTGGAGCCTCCCTGTCTGGGCCACAGACGCCTGCTGCACAGGGAACAGGCACCAGCGGGGGAGAGGGCCCGGGGAGCATCTGGGGTCACCAGCCGCTCCCCCATCTCAGTCTCCCGGGACCTGCCTGTGATGATCTGGATCTATGGAGGCGCCTTCCTCATGGGGGCCGGCCACGGGGCCAACTTCCTCAATAACTACTTGTATGATGGTGAGGAGATCGCCACGCGTGGCAACGTCATCGTGGTCACCTTCAACTACCGCGTCGGCCCCCTTGGCTTCCTCAGCACTGGGGACGCCAACCTGCCAGGTGCGTGGGCCCCTTTTGTATGGAGGTGGGTGGCCAGTGGCTGAGCCCAGCAGGGGGAGGCTCCTCATCGCCCGTCACCCCAAACATCCAGTGGCGGTCCCACAGAAAGACCCAGCGGCTGGAGTAGAATCACAAGGTACAGGAGGCTCTTGGCAGCAGTAGCAAAATAATAGATGCTGTGGAGGCCAGGCAAGGAGGTTCATGCCCCTAATCCCAACACGTTAGGAGGCCAAGGCAGGTGGATCACTTGAACCCAAAAGTTCAAGACCAGCCTGGGAAACACTGGGAGACCCAATCTCTAAAAAAAATATAAAAATTAGCTGTATATGGTGGCTCACGCATCTGGTCTCAGCTACTTGGGAGGCAGAGGTGGAAGGATCGCTTGAGCCCAGGGGGTTGAGGCTGCAGTGAGCCATGATGGTGCCACTGCATTCCAGCCTGGGGGACAGGATGAGACCCTGTCTCAAAAAAAAAAAAAAAAAAAAAAAAAAAAAAAGCTATGGGACAGACAGACAGGTAGACAGGCTCAGGCTCAGAGAGAAACCAGGAGAGCAGAGCCAGTGAGAGACAGAAAACGATACCTTGAGGCAGAGACAGCTGTGGACACAGAAGTGGCAGAATACAAATGAGAAAATTAGGCAGTGGGCAGGAGAGGTGCACAGGCCTGACCATCCTGCTCCCCACAACCACCACTCCTCCAGCACCCCACTGACCCAGCCTCCTGGGGACCCACCCCCTCCAGCACCCCACCTGACCCCACCCCTTAGGAACACACCATTTGCCAACCTGGGCTCCTCCAGGGCCCCAACTCTGTTGAGGGCATTTCCAACCCTCCCACGCTGGTCTCCCCTCCTGCAGGCCAGGCCTGGGCACTGATCTCTAGCACCCCCTCCCCTGCCCCACCCCCAGGTAATTACGGCCTTCGGGATCAGCATATGGCCATTGCTTGGGTGAAGAGGAATATTGCAGCCTTCGGGGGGGACCCCAACAACATCACCATCTTCGGGGAATCTGCTGGAGGTGCCAGCGTCTCTCTGCAGGTCTGGGGGCCCCTGAAGGGAAGGGCCTGCCCCAAAGGTTTTGAGGAAGCTCGAGCAGGAGGGAGAGGGCGGGAGGGGCAGTGTGGAGCTGGGGCTGTGGTACTGGGGTGTCCTTGGCCCAGCCTGGGGTGGGTGGAGTCAGGAGCGGCCTTGGTGACAGGATTTCTGGGTGTCGTAGACCCTCTCCCCCTACAACAAAGGCCTGATCCGGCGAGCCATCAGCCAGAGCGGTGTGGCCCTGAGCCCCTGGGCCATCCAGAAAAACCCCCTCTTCTGGGCCAAAAAGGTAAATGGAGGAGGGCAGGGGTGGGCAGGGAGGGGCTGCTTTGATACCCGGGTAGGGGCCATCCTCATTTCCATTCTTTGTCCTGGACCCCGTTCTTGCCTTCAAACGGTTCTGCGCCGTGAACACTGGCCTCCTCCCACCTGCCGGCCTTGATCATGCCCCCAGCTGGCTGAGAAGGTGGGTTGCCCTGTGGAGGACATTGCCAGGATGGCCAAGTGTCTGAAGGTGACCGACCCCCGAGCCCTGACGCTGGCCTATAAGATGCCGCTGGCAGGCATGGAGTGTGAGTAGCTGCTCAGGGTGGGGCATGGGGTCTCGAGGTGGGGGTGGGGGGTACTGCCAGGAAATACTCTGGAAAAGAGAGGAAGGTGCCCGAGCTGCGGCCTGATCCTGTCACCAACAAGTGGATGTCTCCCCTCCAAGGCCCCAGCTGTAAGGGAGATGGGAAGCCATTTCTTCTACTTTTTTTTCACTATGTCGCCCAGGCTAAAGTTCAGTGGCAGGATCTCAGCTCATTGCAACCTCCGCCTCCTGGGATCAAGTGATTTCTCCTGACTCAGCCTCCTGTGTAGTTGGGACTACAGGCATGTGCCACCATGCCTGGCTAATTTTTATATTTTTAGTAGAGACATGGTTTCGCCATGTTGGCAAGGCTGGTCTCAAACTCCTGATCTCAGGTGATCTTCCCGCCTCAGCCTCCCAAAGTGCTGGGATTACGGGCGTGAGCCATCTTGCCCGGCCCATTTTTTCTTCTTATCTCCCATGAGTCACAGACTCCCCCTTTGAGAAGCTGATGAACAATTGGGGCCCACTCCCCCACCTCATGCATTCATATGCTGTCATTTGCATACAATTTTAGGGAGATTCATACACCCCAGACCACGAGCCTTTTTGCTGGATGACATTTCCTTCCTTCCTTCCTTCCTTCCTTCCCTCCCTCCCTCCCTCCCTCCTTCCTTCCTTCCTTCTGAAAATATGTAATAAACTGTAGCATTGGGGCCTCCAGCTCCACTATTCTGTACCCCAGGAAGGTCTGGGGACCCCTTCCACAAACACCTGTGAGTGTCAGCCTCACCAGCTTGCTAGGCTACACTTCTCCATTGCTCATTCTTCCACGGAAACGTGCCATGAAGCCCTGTCATCTGCATGTGTACCTGACAGGAACTCAACTGCACAGGCTGGGCAAGTCCGAACAAAGCAAGCGGCATGGCCCCGCTGGAAGCAAGGCCCGTTGTGCTGGGCCCAGTGACAGCAGGGATCCTCTGTCTCAGCAGCCACGGGATCCTCTAGGGGCCAGTCCAGGGGTGTGGAGGGGAGTGCAGACCTCGCACCATGTTTGGCTAATGGACTGGAACCCAGCCCTGCGAGAGGGAGCTCCTTCTCCATCAGTTCCCTCAGTGGCTTCTAAGTTTTCCTCCTTCCTGATTCAGGCCCAGCAAAGAGAGAGAGGAGAGGGAGGGGCTGCCGCTGAAGAGAACAGATCTGGCCCTAGACAGTGGCTCTCAGCCTGGGACGTGTGGCAAGGCCTGGAGACGTTTGTGATTGTCCCTGTTGGGGAGGGGGTGCTCCTGGCACCTCGTGGGTCGATGCTCTTGATGCCCTAAACATCCTACAGGGCACAGGATGCCCCCAATGGTGCAGAATCCTCCCTGCCCCAAGTGTCCACAGATCAGAGAAGGGAAGACGTGGCCAACTCCAGCCCTGAGAGGCAAGGAGTGGCTCAGGGGGACACTGGAAGGTACTAGAACCTGCTGGCTCTCCCACCTAGACCCCATGCTGCACTACCTGGGCTTCCTCCCTGTAATTGATGGAGACTTCATCCCCGATGACCCTGTCAACCTATACGCCAACGCCGCCGACATCGACTACATAGCAGGCACCAACAACATGGACGGCCACATCTTCGCCAGCATTGACATGCCTGCCATCAACAAGAACAAGGAGGAAGTCACAGAGTAAGAGGGGCACCGGACCCAGGGGCAATCTGTGTTGGAGTTGGGCCAGCCTGGACGAGGAAGGCATTGAGTGGAGGATTGGGAGTGAGAAAGTTAGCACCAGTATGGTTGGGTTTGCAGACACCCTCCTGTTGGCACAGGGGGAGCGTCAGTGCCTACTTGTTCCCCGCAGGGAGGACTTCTTCAGGCTGGTCAGTGGGCTCACCATCACCAAGGGGCTCAGAGGCGCCAAGACTACCTATGACGTCTACACCGAGTCCTGGGCCCAGGACCCATCCCAGGAGAACAAGAAGAAGACTGTGGTAGACTTTGAGACTGACATCCTCTTCCTGGTGCCCACCGAGATTGCCCTGGCCCAGCACAGAGCCAATGCCAAGTGAGGATCTGGGAAGGGGGTGGGTCCTGGGGGGCCCTCCTGGGGTGCTGCATTTCCAGCCGAGGGCTCTCCGTGGATAGCTCACAGGCGTCTGGGCTGTCTGGGAAGGTGGTGCTGGAGTCCCCTCCTGTGCCTTCCTGATCCACTTTGCTGAGCCTGGCAAGACTGGAGGGCCTCTGTTTTCCTCCCAGCCTCTAGGGGGTTTACAAACCCCAGGATCCTCTGCCCTGCTCAGCCCCGCACCCCACAGTCCTTGTCACTGGAGAGTTATTGAGCTGCCTTCCATCCCCCACACTGTGTAGATTGAGAGAACATGGGACAATGGTTTTTCTATTCAATGACTCTTAGAGGCCTTGTTGGAAACAGAGGTTAGAAATAGATGCTCAGTGCTTCAAGGAAAAATCAGCACCGAGACAAAGGATCTTTCAGCAATGCAATTTTTGCTTCCTGGACTGCAGGAAGGGTACCCTTGCTAGCCTTTGTGCCGTGAGAGTACAATGAACAAAGGAAAACAGACAAATTTATCCTTTAAGTATTTGGGGTCGTCCTTACTGCTGTGTCTGATCTCCGTTGGCTGGAGCCGGACCTCACAATTTAAACTAAACCCTGATTGACTAACAACTTAAAACTTTTCTAAATAGGTAAAAGCAATGGAAAGCTGGGACATGCCTGTGAGCACGTCCAGCACAGATATCTTGGTTAAAACACAAGGACATAGAACGTACAATGTGACTGTAAGCATGGCGTGTCTAACAGCTACATAGGATAGGGCTTAACAAAGTTATTAGCACACTTACTCTTTAACGGGAAAGGAAACTTTAAAAAGGAACTTTTCTACTTCCCACAATTCCCTCCTGTTTTACTTTGTAATTTTCCTTTTTAAACTTTTTTTTTTTTTTTTTTTTTTTTAACATGTCTTGGCTTAGTTGTCTGCCTGAGTTTTTAAAAGAAAAAGCTTCTCTCGCCGGGCGAGGTGTCTCAAGCCTGTAATCCCAGCATTTTGGGAGGCCAAGGCGGGTGGATCACGAGGTCAAGAGATGGAGACCATCCTGGTCAACATGGTGAAACCCCGTCTCTACTAAAAATACAAAAAATTAGCTGGGCATGGTGGCACATGCCTGTAATCCCAGCTACTCAGGAGGCTGAGGCAGGAGAATTGCTTGAACCCAGGAGGCGGAGGTTGCGGTGAGCCGAGATCGCGCCATTGCACTCCAGCCTGGGTAACAAGAGCGAAACTCTGTCTCAAAAAAAAAAAAAAGAAAAAAAAAAAAGAAAAAGCTTCTCTCACTTTTCTCTTTGCACCGTTTCTTTCTTTAGTTTACTGCCTGTCTCTTTCACACACCCTTTCTCTTACAACCTTTTCACATACTTCTACTTTCTTTCTGACTTTTTAACCTTTTGCTGCAGCGGGACTGGTGCTGCTGATCTTCTCCCCTGCTGGCGCAGGTGCCGCGCCTGTGTGCCCCGCCAGGTTCCCAGCGCTCCACCTGGGACCGACTTGCTGCTGCTGCTTTCCCGTCTCTCTCCGATCCTCTGCGGTGCCCCTGGCCACGGCCCTCGCGGGCGACCTCTGCTGCCGTCTTCCATGCACACAGGCCACTCGCCACTTCTGGTGTCACGTGTGCCGCTTCCCTACTTCCGGTCCTGGTGCCCACTGGTGAATGCCGCTCAGAGTGGCCTGGTCCCTGTGCACCTGCAACCTCCGCCACCCTGGGCCCCGCCTCGGCAGGTGGCTGACCCAGCCACAGGTACTGCTGCGGCACCTCAGGGGGCCTTTACTGAGACTCCTCTGGAGCCGTCTTGCCTAGCTTTTGCCTTTCTTTTTCCAGGGAGGATTCTAACTATCCTCCGCCGCCCTTTTGAAGGTCCCTCCCACGCCTCTCTTTCCTTTCCTTTGCTCCCTCCAGCCTCTGCCATATGAAATGATTACAGATTTTGCAGAGAGGAAGCACTCACACTGCTCTCTCCCATGCACACTTAACACATATTCAACCTTTAGAACTGTGATTAAAGCTTGAAGCCTTTCTTTTCCTGCATTGCTGAGAGACCAGGTTGATTTATCCCTTGCACCAGGTGGATCTCGGCTGGAGGCCACTCTGGAGGGCGATGTGTCCCAGCTGGGTGGCCAATTCGTTGGAAACAGATGCTCGGTGCTGCAAAGAAAAATCAGCACGGAGACAAAGGATCTTTCAGCAATGCAGTTTTTACTTCCTGGACTGCAGGAAGGGTATTCTTGTGACAAAATGGCTAATGAGAGGACCCTTCCTGCAGTCTAGGAAGTAAAAATTGCATTGCTGAAAGATCCTTTGTCTCTGTGCTGATTTTTCCTTGCGGCACCAAGCATGTATTTCCAACAGGCGTCAACTTTGCCAATTGACAAAGTATTTTCAGCCCACGGCCACATTAAAGACCTTTATGCAATAATAGCCTATTAAAATCAGAAATAAGGTACAGTGGTTGACACCTGTAATCCCAGCACTTTGGGAGGTTGAGGCAGGAGGATCACTTGAGGTCAGGAGTTTGAGACCACTCTGGCCAACATGGCAAAACCCTGTCTCTACCAAAAACACAAAAATTAGCCAGGTGTGGTGGTGCACACCTGTAAACCCAGCTACTCGGGAAGCTGAGGCAGGAGAATCGCTTGAGCCCAAGAGGTGGAGGTTGCAGTGAGCTAAGATTGCGCCACTGCACTCCAGCATGGGCAACAGACAAGACTCTGTCTCAAATAAATAAGTAAAAGAAAATAATAATAAAAATGAAAAATAAGAAATGTTAAAAAGACAGGAAGATAAAAGTATGCCAAGAAGTCTAGGATGAAAGCTTTGCAGAAACTAAGCAATCCATTGAGCTGTGAGCCTCCTTTCAGTCAAGGCAAAAAGGGAAACAGTTGAGGGCCCATGCCTTGTTCAATCCGATTGAAGAATGCACATTCACTTGGAGAGAAAACTATTTCTTGATACTGAATTATAGAAGGAAGGTGCCTCACAATGTTTTACAGAGGTGAAATATGAATTCAGTTGAAATTGCAGAACCCAAGAATCCGTGAATTTGGTCCTCAGCTTTCCCTTCCCTGGGTGTAGGAAGCCCAGTCTCTTCATGTGAATTCCCCAGCCCCTTCTCTGCCCGCTGCCCGTGACCTCCCTCCAGGGCTGGTCTCTGGGCTGGGCAGTCCCCAGTGGGCACCCTGCCTACCTGGGTGTTCTCTCCCCTCCAGGAGTGCCAAGACCTACACCTACCTGTTTTCCCATCCCTCTCGGATGCCCACTTACCCCAAATGGGTGGGGGCAGACCATGCAGATGACATCCAGTACGTCTTTGGAAAGCCCTTCGCCACCCCGCTGGGCTACCGGCCCCAAGACAGGACCGTCTCTAAGACCATGATCGCCTACTGGACCAACTTTGCCAAAACAGGGTAAGGTGTGGGTTGAGTGCAGAGGGGAGGACCATAGACTTAAGGGCCTCTTGCCAGCAGGCCGTGTTCCCTCACTAGCCAGGGGAGGGACTTTGGGCGAGTCACTTAACCTCCCTCAGTAGGGGAATCTATGTGTGTTTCTGAGGATAAGAGCTACTGGCAGAGCCCAAGCCCGTGCGCGTGCACAGCTGGTGCCCGGTATGCAGTGAGGGGCCACGGTGCTCAGGGCCAGCTCAGAGGGTGGGGATGGCTCAGGCGTGTGGGTGCAGAGCAGAGCTTCAGCCCCCTGAAAGTCCCCAGCCCCTGAACAGCCTCTTCTCACTCTGCAGGGACCCCAACATGGGCAACTCGGCTGTGCCCACACACTGGGAACCCTACACCACCGAAAACGGTAGTTACCTGGAGATCACCAAGAAGATAGACGGCAACTCCATGAAGCGGGGTCTGAGAACCAGCTTCCTGCGCTACTGGACTCTTAGCTATGTGGCGCTGCCCACGGTGACTGATCAGGAGGCCACCCCTGCACCCCCCGCAGGGGACTCTGAGGCCACCCCTGTCCCGCCCTCGGGTGACTCTGAGGCTGCCCCTGTCCCGCCCTCGGGTGACTCTGAGGCTGCCCCCGTGCCCCCCTCGGGTGACTCTGAGGCCGCCCCAGTCCCCCCGACGGGTGACTCTGAGGCCATCCCTGTCCCTCCCACTGGTGATTCCGAGGCCGCCCCTGTGCCCCCCACAGATGACTCCAAGGGAGCTCAGATGCCTGCAGTCATTGGTTTCTAGTATCCCATGAGCCTTGGTCTCAAGAGGCCACAAGGGTGGGACCCCAGGGGCTCCCCTCCCCTCTTGAGCTCTTCCTGAATAAAACCTCATTCCCCTGTCTGGCGTCTTTGTTTGCTCCCAAGACTAAGCTGCAGGACCTGTCTGTCAATTGCAGGCTTGCTTTTTCATGCCCAGCTCGTCTGTCTTTGGCCAGAGGTGGCCTCAGGTTGGCTTCTATAGTCCTTTCACACAACCCTTGGGTCTTGGGCATCTTCTTACTTGCCAGCCACCAAGATGGTGCAGGCTCCAGCCCCTCCCTGGCATTTCCTGCCAGGGACCCAACCCAGCCATCTCCCCAGGGTGTGCTCCTTCGTTGGGGTGAATATGGTGTTTAGAGATCCCAATCTGGTCACAGGGGTGGTGGTTGCTCCTGGGATTTCTCTACTGCTAGGGCTTTGGAAGAGACAGAGCCAGGAAATAATAATTTTTTTAACCATTAAAAAAAAAGTATGAAGCCATGCACAGTGGCTCACGCCTGTAATCCCACCCAGCACTTTGGAGGGCCAAGGCAGGAGGATCACTTGAGGTCAGGAGTTCGAGACTAGCCTGGCCAACATGGTGAAGCCCATCTCTGCTAAAAATACAAAAATTTAGCCAGGTGTGGTGGCACCCACCTGTAGTCCCAGCTCAGGCAGGAGAATCGCTTGAGCCCGGGAGGTGGAGGTTGCAGTGAACCGAGATCGCACCACTGCACTCCAGCCTGGGCGACAGAGCAAGACACCAAATCAAATAATCATAATAAAGTATGAATTCATGCAGGTATTTCCCAGTTGTAAGATTATCGGGTTTTACTTCTCTGGTTTTACACCTGTTTCTTTTCTGCCTATGCTGAAAGTCTGGGTTCCTGACAGCACCAGCATAATCGTTTATGTTCTTTTTCCTATAACATACATATGCTAGTTTCAAAATATAAGACATTGCAATAAGTCATATAATAAGTTATAAAGTACATGAATTTAAATAACAAATTATAAATTATATAAAGTAATATATCATGAAACACTAAGACCCACTAAGGATCATTTAAGATCGGTTTGCTCATTCTCCTGAAATTCTCCCACAGAATATGCAATTGTGCCTCCAGGTCCCTTAAGTCACTCTGTGATTAGGCCATCTGCCAAGACACAGTTAGAACTTTAGGGTTTTAAAATCACGCAGATGTGGAAACCTACCCATGACTTTTTTTTTTTTTTTTTTTTTTTGAGACCGAGTTTTGCTCTCGTCACTCAGGCTGGGTGAAATGGCATGATCTCGGCTCACTACAACCTCTGCCTTTTGGGTTCAAGCAAACCTCCTGCCTCAGCCTCCTGAGTAGCTGGGACTACAGGCATGTGCCACTATGCTAGGCCAATTTTTTTGTACTTTTAGTAGAGACAGGGTTTCACCATTTTGGCCAGGCTGGTCTCAAACTCCTAACCTCAGGTGATCTGCCCACCTCAGCCTCCCAAAGTGCTGGGATTACCGTCACGAGGCACCATGCTCGGCCCCTACCTAGGACTTTTAAGTGGATGTTTCTCTGCTTGAAAACAAAGTTTATATGTTCATTTTAGAGTATCCTGTAAACAATAACGTATGGACTTCTCATCCATAGTTTCTCTGAGTGAAGGTATTGATGGGGAAATGTGAAATTCAGAGAGGCAGACACAGGCCCAGGCCACACAGCTGTGGAGCGGCAGCATCGGGTGGGCCTTGTGTCAAATTTGCAGTTCTGCTTTGTGTGACGTAAGCTGGACTTCATTAAAATAAAAAATGTCTGCTCTGCAAAGAAAACAAAGACAAGCCACAGACTGGAAAAATATATTAGCAAAAGACATCTGATAAAGCACTGTGATCCACCTAAACAGATGGCAAATAAGCACCTGAAAAGATATCCCAGGCTGGGTGCAGTGGCTCAGGCCTGGAATCCCATCACGTTCAGAGGCCGAGGCAGGAGGCCCTCTTGAGCCCAGTAGTTCAAGACCAGCCTGGACAACAGCAAGGCCCCATCTGTATTTTCTGTATGAGATATATCCACATCATATGTTGTTAGGGAAATGCAAACTTAAACAGTGAGCACTGCATACCTGTAAGAATGGCCAAAATCCAGAAAACTGGCCAAACACCCAATGCTGAGGAGGAGGCGGAGCAGCCAGCGCTCCCATTCGTTGCTGCTGGGAATAACAAACGGTGCGGCCGCGCTGGAAGACGGTCTGGCAGTTTCCTAAAAATAAAACCCACTCCTACCACGTGATCCAGCACTCTCAGTCCTTAGTATTCACCCAACCTGCAAACAGATGTTTATAGCTGTAAACCAAAACTATAATTCCAAGCACCCCAGCTGACTGAATGCAACACCCTCTCAGCCAGGGGGACCCAATGGAACCTGAAAGTTCGGGCCGTGATGGGCCGTAGGGGTCGGACATGCCTCATTTATACTCTCTTCCCTTTGGAATTCAGGCACAGCTGATTGGCCTTAAAACAGAGATCTGAAGACTGACAGAACAGACTCTGTAGAAATAAGATACAAAATTCCAGCCTGACTATAGTATAGCATCACACGACGGACAGATGGCAGGTCATGAAAGAAATGGAAATATTTTACTCCATAATGTATTTATTTTTATTTTTACATTTTTTGTTTTAAAGATGGGGTTTCACCATGTTGGTCAGGCTGGTCTTGAACTCCTGACCTCAGGTGATCCACCCGCCTTGGCCTCCAAAGGGTTTGGATTACAGGCATGAGCTACCTCGCCAGGCCCCCAAAATGTATTTCTTTGACATATTTTGGAATGGCCCTGCACAGCTGTCTCTTGTGGAGGAAATCTGCATTCTGCTGAGAATATCTTTCCTTTACCAGGTCACTTCTGAAGAGTCAAGCACCTTTTAGAGATCTGAGATGGAAATATTTGTCATCTATTGTCTCTAAGGGCAGCCATCTATGAGACTTCATCTACATAATAAGAATCTTGGTCTCCACAACATTTTATCTTCACCAAGACTCTTCTTTCTATTGACTCCAGGTTTTTTGTTAATAACTCTTTCAACCAATTGCTAATCAGAAAATCTTTGAAATCACCTATGATTTGTAAGCCAACCCAAACCCTCTCCATCCCGTTTGAGTGGTCTCCTCTTTCCAGACAGAACTAATGTATAACTCGAATTATTCATTTATGTCTTATGTCCCCCTGAAACGTATAAAACCAAGCTGTAAGTCCAGTGCCCTGGAACTCCTGAGACCGTGCGTCTGGCCATAATCAATCATATTTGGCTCAGAATCCATCTCTTCAAATATCTTAGTTTGGCTTTTTTGGTCAACATAACAGATGTTTATAGCAGTTTTCTTCATAATTGCCACAACCTGGAAGTAATCCAAGATGTCCTTCAGCAGGTGAAATACAGTATATCCAGACAATGGAACTTTTTCAGCTCTAAAAAGAAGAGTTGGAAGACATCTTGAGACAGTTAAAGAATAAAAAGAAAGAGAAAGCTATCGAGCCAAGAAAAGACATGGAAAAAAATGAGTCTTACTAAGTGAAAGAAGCTCAACCTGAAAAAGACTACCTACTTTGTGATTCCACCTCTGTGACACTGGGAAAAGGAAAAACTAGAGACAGTATAAAGGTTAGTGGTTGTCAGGGTGATACAGGAGTTAAGAAATCACTTAGGCTGATAGTAAGGGTAGGGGAGTCCTTGGTAAGGCTTTTCTTTTCTTTTCTTTTCTTTTTTTTTTACACGGAGTCTTACTCTGTGGCCTGGGCTGGGGTGCAATGGCTCAATCTCAGCTCACTGCAACCTCTGCCTCCTAGGTTCAAAATTCTCCTGCCTTCAGCCTCCTGAGTAGCTGGGATTACAGGTGTCTGCACCATGCCCGACTAATTTCTTGTATTTTTTTATTTTTATTTTTATTTAAAAAATTTTTTTTTGAGACGGAGTTTCGCTCTTGTTACCCAGGCTGGAGTGCAATGGCGCGATCTCGGCTCACCGCAACCTCTGCCTCCTGGGTTCAGGCAATTCTCCTGCCTCAGCCTCCTGAGTAGCTGGGATTACAGGCACGCGCCACCATGCCCAGCTAATTTTTTGTATTTTTAGTAGAGACTGGGGTTTCACCATGTTCACCAGGATGGTCTCGATCTCTTGACCTCGTGATCCACCCGCCTCGGCCTTCCCAAAGTGCTGGGATTACAGGCTTGAGCCACCGCGCCCGGCAATTTCTTGTATTTTTTAGTAGAGATGGGTTTCGCCATATTGGCCAGGCTGTTCTGGAACTCCTTGTGACCCGCCCACCTCAGCCTCCCAAAAAGCTGGATTACAGGCTGGAGCCCCTGCGCCTGGCCAAGGCTTTTCTTTTTAATGAAAAGCAGCCGGAAATCATTTTCTAACAAAGAGCAGCCTGCAAAGTCAGCAGCAGACATAGACAAGCAGCAGGCTGGGAGCTTGCACGGGTGAGTGCCCACAGGAACTGGGGACTAGACATGGTAAGTTGTGGCTCCATCCTCCCATCTGTGCCAGCCACGTGTACAGTAAGAAGCAGGCCAGATGGTGCCGATCAACTGGAAAGCCTATTTGCATAATCAGATTAGGGTAGGGCCACGTGCCTTCCCCCTCGTGCTAGGTAAACGTCACACCTGATAGAACCAATCTGTGAGCTCTATGTAAATCAGACTCCGCCCCCTCAAACCTGACTATAAATTCAGCGCATCTGCGCCCGCCAGGCCTTTCCGCTTGGAGAGGAGACGGGTGTCGCTGTTTTTCTTCACTTCTGCCTGTTAAACCGCCACTCCTAAACTCGTGTTTGGCCCTGTCCTAAATTTTCCTGGCCCACGACGACGAACCCCAGGGTGTATATCCCAGACAACGTAGCTGCTTCAAGGGATTGGCGTGAGGAAGGATTGAATCAATGGAGCCCAGGGGATTTCTAGAGCAGTTGAAACTTCATGATGATACTGTGCGGGCCGAGGGAGAGCTTTCCCCTTCATCCTCTGAAGGGCCACTGAAAAATCACTGGCATGGGGCACATTGACTAATAGGAGAAAGAGCATGCGTATTTGTTTAATGTGTATATACACAGGAGCCTTTGAA